TCCCAGCAAGTTCCCGGGGACGCTGATGCTGCTTTGCAGACACACCAGGGTAGCGCGGCTCCAAGTGTAAGCTCCTATGGGATGCGCAACTAAGTACAGCAAATGACGACAAACAACAGCAATAATAAGAGGGAGGACTGTTCTCCAAGGACCCAGGCCAGCAGAGGGCCCCACTGGCCGGGGCCAGCCCGGGAGTGCCCCGAAGGACCACCTCTGCCATTGCTGTTGCTTTGCAGAAACTGTGGATCCGGTCGGGAAGAACCCAGACTCAGGCGGGAGCCAGGGAGCCAGGGTGGCCCCGAGGCTGGTCAGCCCTGGGGCCACTCTGCGGCTGAGCCAGGAAACAAGCACCCATGGGGGCTGCCCTGGGGGTGGACCAGGCCTGGAAGAGAGGCTTCTGCTAGCGCGCAGCATGCCTGGACTGCCCTCCCCAGTCAGCCAGCTGAGTCGTAATCCGGCGCATCCTATGAGGTTGATGTTAATATTATCACCAAAGAACCCAAGGCCCAGAGAGGCTAAGTCACTTCACCAGGGACACACAGCTTGGGCAGAAACATGGCTCTGGTCAGCCCCATTGGCCAATGCTCTCATCCACTTGACCACTCTACCAACCTGTCCTCGTGGCGGGGGAATGTGGCAGATGAGGCTGCAGCCCCGGGAGCCTGGCCGGCCTCCACGTGGGCCTCGCGTCTGGCCCAGCCTCCTCCCACCTCCGCCACCTGGGAAAGCTGACCACAGGGGTATAGTGACTGGCCAGGCGCGGCCAGGGCCTGTTCCCATGGAAAGCGCCCAAGGTGGGCGGGGACCACGCGCAGAGGACAGGCAGTACCATTGAGCACAGGCGGTGATGGGCACTTCTGACACTGTGCTGATGTTGCTGGAACAGAAAGTCCCCCTGGGGGCCCCTGGGGCTGCGTCCTCACCGCGTGCGCTGGCCCATCCTGCATGTCCGGCCACGCCCCGGTCTCTGGCCCGGCCCCATGCAGAGGAGTGCCCTAGGACCGCTATTTGCTCCATCCCAGGCCCCTCCCACCACCCAACGCGCGTCCCGGTGCCCCCGCCTCGGTTGGATGGTGTTGCTGCCCACTTCTTACTTTCCTGGTCCAGGCCTCCATGGTTTCCCTTCTGACTGGAGGCAGTGACCTCCTCCAGAGCCTTCCTGCCTCCAGCCTCACTCTCTCCAAGCAATCTTTCACGTTGCAGCCCAAGAACATTCTCTAGAGGCCGGATCTGGCCGTGTCCCTCCCAGGCTCACGATGCCTGTCATTTCTGTGGACCCCTGGAGAAACCCACCCCCGGAGCAGGGCTTACAAGCCTTGCCTGATCTAACCTCCCGCCTTGCTCCCCCACTCCAGAGGCCCCAGGACTCTCACCAGGATCGTTTGTTTCATCCTGCAAGGCCCCCAAGGAAGTAGGGGCCACAGTCCCCATTTCACAGCCCAGCACGTCCCACAGCCAGGAAGCAGCAACACCAGACTCAGAAACCAACCTCAGCGTGAGTTTGGGGCTCTTGCTGCAGCCCACCCTCCCCCTGGGACAAGGTGGTCAGTGCCCCTAGAATTCCTCCTGCAGCCCCTACCATCCTTAGACAGCCCCCAGCTGGGGCGGGGGGCTGGGCCAAGCCCAGGGGGAGGGCTCCCCAGCTTGAGCCTGTTTAGGGAGGGGACCTCATTCCCAAGGGAACAAAGAGCTTTGAAAAGAGAAACCAGCGCACCCTCGCCCAGGAGCCTCTCCGCTCAGCGGTGGAAGGAGAGGGGCTGGCAAACGCTGAAGAGGCTGGGCTTGTCAAATCCCCTTTGGAGCAAATCCAAAGGGATCAAGACACTGCAAGGAAAACCAGGGCCAGGAGGAGAGCAAAGCAAGGCTGAGAAGCCCCCAGTCGCCCTGGCCTCCGTGGAGCAGACCGTGAGAAGAGACTCGGGGCGTCCAGCGCCTCGGGCAGGCCCAGTTTCTCAGGGGCCACCGTGTGCTGGCGGGGAAGCCAGAAGCACCCTCAGTTCTGCGCACGAGGAGGCTGAGCGATTTGCCCGAGGTAGCCCAGAATCCACAACCTGCCTCTTACTGATGGACAGACACAGGCTCGCTACTTTGGAGACAGTGGTGGGGCCGGGAGCTCCCGGGGGGACAGGACAGGGGCCCTGTTGCCACTGTGCCTTGCCTCCTGCCCGGAGTCAGAAGCAATTTACAGAGACGTAATAACTCTCCCGCAGCGCCGCCTGCTCCCTCACCCCTCCTGAGCACTGTAATTATTCCTCACTGGATCTCCCTGCCTCCACTCTGTAGAGCAGACCCAGGGGCCTCCCTGCAGGAGTGGGGCCCTGCTGTGTAGCCTCCAGGCCGGCCGGGCCATATCAGTCACCCAGCACCAGCACCAGCAGTCAGCGATTTAGAGCCGGCCCCCAAACATGCAAGCCTGGGGTGATCATTTGAGTGGGGGCCTTGGGCTCAGGTTTGCCCGGAGATTTCAGAACCCCTCTGTCCTCCCTCAATACTGCAGCTCCTCCCAGGCTTAACCGCTCAGTTCGAGGCTTGGGTGAACAGAGTGGTAATGGCCCATTGGGGGCATAACATGAGCCACTCCATCATTTCACAGTTGAGAGACTGAGGTCTAGAGAGGGAGAGTGACTTGTCCAAGGTCACCTAGAAGGGTGGACAGAACTGGGCAGATCAGTCTTGGCTCCTCCAGCTGTGCCCACCCTTCCCCCCCCCCCCCAAGTGTCCTTACTCATGTTTGATGATTGTGCTGGTGTAAGCAATGCATGTCTGGGAGCTCGAAGCCTCAGAGGCTGGGAGAGGCTCTGTGGTGGACGCCCTCCCCTCTCCCCTGGAGAGGCCAGGCTGAGAAGCTGTGACACTTCTGTAGGCCAGGCTCTCAGCAGAGAGTGCCAGTGAGCTCCAGAAAGACCAGCCGATGCTCCCCAGAGCTCCCCATGCACTCCTCCCCACACACCCCTTGGGCACCGAGGCTGGGAGAGCCTGCGGGTCCTTCCCAGACTCCCAAACCGTTCAGGAGGCCAATTCCCAGACTTTCAAGTGAATCCAGACCAGTGAGCCCCGCTGGACACTCAGGTGGCAGGGAAATCAGAAGTCAGGAGGAACCAGGGTACAAGGATCACCCTGTTTTTTTCACCCTGTCATGCAGGTTGCCCAATGGCCACTGCCAAATGAAAAACTGAACAAAACCCCACATTGCCTGAGCCCCAGCCTCAGGAGCAAGATGAATTTGTCACAAGTTCCCAGCACCCGAGCTCCTGAGGAAGCTTGCAGTCAGAGCACAAAGGACTAAAGTCAACCCCTCCCCTGGGCCCAGGAAGTGCTTGAGCCACCTGCTTAGGGAAGAAGAACTCTGGTCACCTAGGCGATATCCTGTGCCACTGGCAGAGGGGGATGGATGTGTCCTAGCAAGTGGAAACTTTCTGGGGTTGGAAGTTCCCATGGCGTCTGGAAACGCCCCCTCCCCCCCAAGAGCCTGTCCTGGCATGAGCTGAGGGGAATGCTGGGGGAAGGCTGACAGGTTGTCTCCTCTGGCTCTCCTGAGCTCCAGCTTCCCGAGGAATGTGAAAACAGGGCATGCAGGGGCTAAGACCTCTGGGACACTCCCTGATCCTCGAGAAGGGTCAGCGAACTTGACTTTTGAGATTTTTGTCACTGAGTCATGGGGGCTGCCATGAGATCCACCCTGGCAGGACCATTAGTGTCCATGTGGTCCTTGGCTTTGGGAGTGCCGGACACTGGGTGGGAGGAAGTGGCTGAACCAGGAGGGTGGACAGGAAATCTCTCTTGGATCTTTGGTGTTTGGAGAGTCTTTTTATTCCTCGCTAGGACAACTCGAATGCCAGTCTGGTACTCCTCTCCCCCATTTAAGCTGAGATTTCAGACAAAGGTGAGGGTGAGGCCAGTGGCAATGACAGACAATGGGGTGTTTGAGGTCAGGTCTACCACTTACTGGCTGTGTGACCTTTGACAAGTGATCAAACTTCCCCGAGCCTCAGTTTCCCCATTTGTCAAATAGGACCAATGTCCCTTTCTCATGGGTGTTGGGTGAACTGAATGAATGATTACTCGCAGGTAAGGTGCCCAGCAGGTGTCTGGTAGAAGGCAAGCCTCAGTAAATGAAAGGTCTTAGCTCCTGGCACCAGAGAGAATGGAGGCCAGGCTCCCCTCGGAAACTTTCTCTCCCCGATTTCCTTCATGCCCAGGCCAAGACAGAGCCCAGGTGTCCCTTGGCACAGTGGGTCGCCCGCCTCCCTCAGGCCCTTGCTGCCCACCTGAGTCCCCGTTCGCAGTCCACAGCCTCCTCCCCAGGGGCGCACTTCCAGGGAAGATCAAGATGGGACAAGTGGTGTGGCCGGGCTGCTGTGTGGGGCAGGGACTCGGCTCCAGGCTGCCGGGCAGGCTGCAGTGGGTGCTCCAGCCGAGGTGGACACCGAGCCGGGGCTTCCCTGCCTGCGTCCTTGGCGTCCTCGGCCCCCATGCCCCGCGACCGCTCAGCCCCGCTCGGCCCTTACCTTGAACCATGGGAACGGCGCTGCCCCGGCCGGCCGAGGACTTGGGCGCACGTGACGGGGCGGTCCGGCGTCCGTCCCGGGCAGGGCGCAGTTACCGGCGGCCGCTCCTGCCCAGGCCACGGGCTGCG